AACCTGGACCCCTAGAGCCTCCGATCCTTCTGGACGTGAAGTCAAGAATGATGTCAATCACCTGGCAGCATCCTTTGAAGCCCAACGGGGTCATCACCCATTACAACATCTACCAACAAGGCGACCTGTACTTGAGGACTTCTGGGAATGTCACTAATTGCACAGTGGCGCATTTACAGCCGAACACTGCCTACAAGTTCCAGATAGAAGCCTGCACCTCCCAAGGATGCTCCATCTCCCCAGAGTCCCAGCCCGTGTGGACTCTCCCGGGGCCACCAGGAGGCATCCTGAGTCCAGAGCTGTTCTCTGACACTCCGACCTCCGTCCTTATATCTTGGCAACCTCCCACCCACCCCAACGGCTTGGTGGAGAATTTCACAATAGAGAGAAGGGAGAAAGGGAAGGAAGAAACCACCATCCTGGTGACCCTCCCCGGGAGCCACGCCAGGAGGTTTACTGACAAGACTCCTGCCCTTAGCCCTTGGACAAAATACCGATACCGAGTCCTGATGAGCACACGCAACGGAGGCACTAACAGCAGTGCTTGGGGAGAAGTCACCACGAGGCCCTCGCGACCCCTTGGGGTGCAGCCGCCAGAGGTACACGTGCTGGGACCCCGAGAGGCCCAGGTAAGTGCTGCCTGCTGTCTCCCCCGGTGTGTTTGGCATTTACCCTGGACCCACTCGGTGTGGAACAGAGCCATCTACTGACAAAACAAATGTATTTGTTGTTTCAGGCATTCACTGCCGAAGCCCAGTTTTGGCCTTTGGCCCAAACTCTTGAATTCAATGTCGGTTTTTCATTTCTCCCTGTACCCTCTTAATTAGATTGTTGAGACGCTTCCATTTGCCTCGCACACCTGAAATACTTTGAATGCCACAATGGGATGCTTAGCTTAACCACCACGTCAGGTTTAAATAGATCAGCAAATGAGAAGAGATGGGAAAATGCCGAGGAATGGATTAGCATATCAGCAAAAGTTCCAAGATTACCGACATCCCGGTATCTTTTAAGAATCAAAGAATTGAAAGGATGGTTAAGAAACAACAAAGCAGTGTGTGGGACGACTAGGAAGTGCTCAGTCATCCCCCTGGCTCTTCTGGGAGTGAGCTCTGGAGGACTGCGTAACTACCATTGTTTTGGCTGGCAGACAAACTTCATTCAAGGGAAATTAGTGTAACCAAACAGGAGGGAGTTTTGTAGCTTTGAAGCCTCTTTTGTGTAAATACACACATGCTTCCGTGGATTCAGTCTTGTACCACTGCCAAAAGCACTGGTACGGTAGCTTGCTCACTGGAGCACAAAACAAAGGGCATTTGCATACAGCAAAGTTCATCTGTTGGAATGATTGCTTGGATCTGTTTGTTGTTCTCTCTCTTGCACAAAAGGCAACCACTAGATCATGCTAAACAGTGAAGAAATTTAACCTACAAGCTAAGGGTAGGTGACGAAGTATTTATTAGTTGCAACCTGAAACTAGGTGAAGCCACACACCTTTTTGATATAAATATCAAAAGTAAATGGAAATATGTCAGTAACACACCAGTGGAAATTCATTTTAAGTATATGATGTGCAATGTTTATTATATGAACTGGGCAATCCTAAGACTTGATTTTCAGTCAAAGGAAAAACAAAAGCAAAACAAGACATGCACACAGAAAAAACTGAAACAATTTTACAGTTATCATTCCAGAAATGACTTTCCCTTCCCATCCTGGGGGAATTTGCAGAGCTTTGGTAACAGCACTAATCGATAGAATGAGACAAACATCATCTCTTCATGAAGCAAAGCTACATAATGGTCATTGCTTTGGATTCTTTCTAACATGAACTTTTTCACCTGGCATTGCTGATGGCAGTGTATCTCAAAAAGAAGAAATATTTTCCAAAGAATAATAGTTCCTTACCCAATTCTATTTGATTCACCATCTATAAACAATGATCAAAACTACTTGCAACAAACTGCTTGAATTTTTCTTCATTTTTTCTCTCCCTTGAATTTTGAATCTCAACCAGGAATGACACTGGGTTGTTTGTCCGCTTGCCAGAGGAGTTTGAATTAGCTTGGTGGGGAACCAAGTCTCACACAGTTTGAGTTTTGCTCATGAACTCTTTTCCTAAATCCATATCATCAAGATTTCTACCCACTTTCTCTTCCAGTAGATTATTTCTGCTTTAGTATTTAGATCTTTGATCCATTTTGACTTTAGTGGATGGTGATAGACATGGGTCTCGTGTTAATCTTAAGCATTTGAAAAGCCAGTTTTTCCAGCACTATTTACTAAAGAGGTTGTCTTTCTTCCAGGGAACAATGTTTGGCCTCTTTGTCAAAGATAAGACATCTGAGTATGTTTGGAGTTGCATCTTCTAATCTATTCCACTGATTCTCAGGTCTGTTTTTTGCCAGTACCATGCTGATTTTATCACAGTAGCTCTATAGTATAATTTCAGGTTCAGGATTGTAATGCTTCCTGCCTCTCCTTTGTTGCCCAGAATAGCTTTTGCTACGCTAGGATTCTTTTGGTTCCAAATGAATTTTAGGAATGTTTTCTCTAGTTCTGTGAGCTATGTTAATGGTATTTTGATTGGAATTGCATTAAATCTCTGTAACAATTTTGGGAGTATAACAATATCCACTATGTTGGTACTTCCTTTCTATGGGCAAGGTATGTCTTTCCATTTTATGAAATCCTGTTCCATTTCCTTTTTCAGAGTACTGTAATTTTCAATGTATAAATCTTTTACTTCTTTTGTTAACTTGATTCCTAAGTATTTCGTTTGGATGCTATTGTGAAGGGTATGGTTTCCCTAATTTATTTCTCAATGGATTTATTGTTCGTGTACAGGAGTGTTATTGGTTTTTTAGTGCTGATTTTGCATCTAATTATGCTACTGAATTTGGTTATTAAATCTCTGAGTCTTTTGGTGGACTTTTTGGGTATTCTAGGTAGAGAACCATGACAACTGTGAATAATGATAGTTTAACCTCTTTTCCTATTTTCATTGCTTTTATCTCTCTTTCTCTCTCTCTCTCTCTCTCTCTCTCTCATCTAATTTGTCTAGCTAATGTTTGTAGCACTATATTGATTAGAAGTGGTGACAGTGGAATCCTTATCTTGTATCTGATTTTAGAGTGAAAACTTTCATTGTTTTCAATATAGAATGATGATGGCTGTTGGTTTGTCATAGATGGCAATTACCACGTTGAGTTAAAGATCATCCATTTTGATTTTTCTGTAGGGATTTTATCATGAATGAGTGTTGGACTTTGTCAAAAGCTTTTTCTGCATCTATTAAGATGATCATGTGATTTTTGTCTTTGTCTCTGTTGATATGGTGTATTACATTTATTGATTGACATATGTTGAACCATCCCTGCATTCCTGGGATGAATCCTGCTAGGTTATTGTGTATTAAATTCTTGATGAATTGTTGCATTTTGTTTGCTACTATCTTATTGAGGATTTTTTTTTTTTTTGCATCTATGCTCATTAGAGAGTTTGGCCTCTAATAATAAAAGGAAGAATTCTTTTTATTGGATGGGTCTTTCTCTGGTTTTGGTATCGGGCAATACTTGCCTCCAGGAATGAGTTAGGAAATATTGCTTCCCTTTCAATTTCATTGAAGAGTTTGAGGAGTATTGGCATTAAATCTTCTCTAAATTTCTTATAGAATTCAGTAGTGAGTCCATCAGGACCTGGGCTTTTCTTTGGTAAGTTTTGTATTACATTTTCAATCACATTAATTGATAATGGGTTATTCAGAATTTTTATATCTTCTTGATTCAGCTTTAGTAATTCATACATATCTAGAAATATGTCTATTTCTTTTATGTTTTCCATCCTATCAGAGTAAAGATTTTCAAAGTAGGTAATGATCTTCTGAATTTCCAGAGGTCCTGTAGTGATTTCACCCTTTTCTTTCCTCAATGCATGAATTTGAGTCTTTTCTTTCTTTTTTGATAAGATTAGCTAAGAGCTTATAAATTTTATTTATTCTTTCAAAGAACCAACTCCTTGATCTGTTAATTCTCTGTATTATTTTCTTAGTCTCAATTGTATTACTTTATGCTCTACTCTATAATTTCCTCCTTTGTATGGGCTTTGGGTTATTTATGATTAAATAAACAGCATTAGTTTATTTATGATCATTCTGTTTTCCTTATGTGACAATTCATTGCTATATATTTTCTTCTTAGGACTGCTTTCATTGATTCCACAAGTTCCAGTACGTTGTGTCTGCATTTTTGGTAAATCATAGATATTGTTTAATTTCTTCTTTAATTTCATCTGTGACCCATTGGTTTTTCAGGAGTGTTATTTAATTAACATACATTTGTGGAGTTTTTGTGATTTCTTTTGTCATTAATTTCCAGTTTCATTGCCCTATGGTTAGAGAATATGCATGGGATAATTTCAATTCTTTTGCATTTACTTAAGCAATAGGCTAACTTATGGTCTACTTTAGAGAACATCCCTTGTGCAGCTGAGAAGAGTGTGTATTCTGATGTTGCAAGAAGCACTCTGTAGACGTCGACTAGGGCCATTAGTTCACAGTTTTGGTTCAGTTCTGATATTCTTTGCTAATGTTTTGTAACAGTTGATCTCTCTCTTCATGACAATGGTGTATTAAGGTCTCCTGTTATGATTATGTTATTACTTATTTGACTTTTTATGTCTATTAATGATTATATATTTGGGTGCTCTATATTTGGTGCATGCATATTTGTGATTGTTATCTCTTCCTCTTGAAGTTTTCCCCTAACAGGTATGCAGTGCCAGACTTTATCTCTTTTGAGCATTCTTGATTTGAAGTTCACATTATCTGCAAACAGAATAACTATCCCTGCTTTTTTTTTTTTTTTTTGGAGGGGTGTTCCTGTTGCATGGAGTATTGTTTTCCATCCTTTGACTTTCCATATATGAATTTCTTTTTGAATTAACCATGTTTCTAATATACAGCATATTGTTGGATCTTTGTTTCTTGATTCATTCTGCCAGTCTGTTTCTTTTGATTGGTGAGCTGAGGCCATTTACACTAATAGTTATAGCAGGTATGTATTGACTTATCTTTGTCATGTTACTTTCCCGCCTTTGGTTCCCTGAGTTTTTCCTGTTTAATTCCTTTCCCTCTCTGGGGGTTTCTTTTTGTTGTTGTTCTTGGAATTGTGTTCATTTTTATCTCTGTCTAGAATATCTTTCAGTACTCTCTGTAGTGTTGGTTTGGAGGTCTTCAGTTGTTCTTTTTCTTGGAAATATTTTACTTCTCCACTAATTTTGAAAGAGTTTGTAGGGTACATTTATCTGGGTTAGAATTTCTTTTCTCTCAATACTTGAAATACTTGACTCCTAGCTCTTCTTAATTTGAGAGTTTGTCTTGAGAAGTCTGCCATGATTCTGATGGTCTTTCCATGATAGGTGATCTGTTTGTTTTGTCTAACAGATTTTGATATTCTGTTCTTGTACTGAATTTATGGGATCTTAATTATTAAAATGTCTGGGTGTAGATTTATTTTGGTCATGGTTAATTGGATTTCTGTATGCCTCACTTATCTGTATATAAGATTCTGTTCTCATGTTTGGAACAGTTTTCTGTTATTACTTGTGCAAATAGTCTTTTTATGTCATTTGTGATGACTCCTGCTTTTACATTCACACCTATCAATCTTACATTGTTTTTCTTTGCATGGCCTTGCAGCTGTTAAATTCTTATTTCTTGATCCCTTGTTATTTTTAAGAGATCTTTCCTTTTTCAATCACTAGAAGAGAATAGCTGTCTTTAGTGCATAAACTTAAAAGTCATGGAATTGCAACAGTGTAGTATTGGCACAAAATAGACAAATGGCCAGAGGGACAGTTTCAAGAGTTTCGATACACTGCATACACAAGTGTAGATGGCCACACCACTGTCCATAGAAGTGGCACTTTATTTCACTGGGAAGGTATATCTTCCCTTAACAGTGACACTGGGCTCACTATATTGAATCATGTTGTAATGAAATTCCAATAAGCAATGCCAAAATTTATAGTGTTAGAAAATAAAAACCCAGGAAAATACAAAAGAGGACTTTATATAATCTGAATGTAGAGAAACCCTTTCTAAAGAAAAAGAGAAACTCAATAGCTTGAAAAGAATAATTCTGCGCTGGATAGTAATTCAGTTGTTTTTTGCCAAGCACACAAATCTCCCCCAGTGTTAAAATCCAAAATCTAGATTAAGAAAATATATTGTGTTAGATATCATAAGCAAATAGATAATTTTCCTCATAAAAGAGGTGATAATTTATAATAAAAGATAACAATGCAAACATAATTTAAATAAGACTACATAGAAGTAGTAATACTTAGAGTTATGCCTCACAAAATGTCTGAGAATTGCAAATTAATTAAAGAAAGAAGTGAAACTGGCAGAAACTGAAATTAGTAATATGAAGCATTTGTGAAGACACAGATCATGGACACTTTGATAAAGTAGGTTCCTGTAACTTTCTCAGGCTGTAACTTATCAATAATAATTTAAATAAAGCTAATATTTACCATTAAGCAATCCTTCATAATATAACCAATATAAGACAAATACAATGATACGTATTGCATACATTTGCAAACACCATTTTTAGCAATAAAATTAGGTCAATAATAAATAACTGAATATTTTGTTTCTATCATGAAAAGAAAGTTACACGACAGCAGCAAAGGAGAAAATGTAGGGAATGACCTTTTCTTTTGTAAAATATTAAAGGAAGCTAGACCTTTGGTGTGTGTGCTTGTGTGAGCGTACAATGGGTGTTCAAGAGCCCACTCCAAGTTGTTAAGCTCTCCCCCTCTGCGGGTGGGCAGGGGCGTAAAGCTGCCACCACCCTGTCCCTCTGTGCTAGGCTTGTGCTCTGGGTCTAAAAACACAGACACGTTATTTGGCTGGCCTCAAACTTGCAGTGACTCTCCTGCCTCAGCCTCCTGAGTGCTGGGATTACAGGTGTGCACCACCACACCAAGCAACAGAAGTTATTATTCTGTATGGAGTTTTTCCAGAGTATCATTAGGAGGGATCTCTGTAGAGAGTCAAATATTTATGGGCCCTCTTTCCTTCCTTTGTGACATATGACTTCAATCAACTAAGTCATCTTAGAATTAACACTCTTATGTCTAGATATAAGGGCAAGGGTTGTTCATTCGTATTTCCCTGGGCATTAAGGCCCAGAGATGTTGAATGTTTTCCTCAAGGTAACAAAACTGGCCTAGTATGAATTAAACATTACAAAACCATGCTTATTCCATTCTCAATTCATTACATCAATTTTCACAAATGCTGCTATGTGTTAAGTCTTTACATAGAATTTAATAGAGTTATGGAAGGAAGGGAGGAAGAGAGGAAGGGAGGAGAGAGGGAGGGAGGGAGGGAGGAAGATACGGATAATATTTATGTATGCTACTCTTTTCAGGTCCGAGGTCAGTCAGCTAACCTGCACATCTTTGTCACTTGGAAGGTGGCATGATTATGGAAAGTTGTTTTCAGGGACTAGAAAGACCTGGCAAAAACTGGTGGCTCCTTAAATACCTAACTCATTTTCTATCCATTGTCTTTTTTTTTTTTTTTTTTTTTTTTTTTCTTTTCTGACAATACCTAAAAGCTAGACAAAGATGGGCTGAGGATTTAGCTCAGTGGCATAAACACCCGTCTGGCAAGTGCAAGGTCATGAGTTCAATTCCAGGTAGCCCACCAAAAAAAAAAAAAAAAAATTGAAAGAAAAAAGCTAGAAAAGAAATAGAAATCTAAATAACTAAGATTAAATAAATCACTTTGATAGGCAATAAACATTTTATTTCCAGTGGGAAATTAATTCTAATTTAAATTTTTGACATAAAATTTTTGTTTTTGAAGATACATATGTTGCTTACACATGCCAACAATGTGCTTTTTGGTCTGTTTTGAGGAAATCAACAATATTTTAGAACGCTTTGTAGGTACAACAGTAAGTTAAACTGGTGAAAAGCTTTTATCTCATCTGTTTAGACCACGCTATAGTAACTATGGTCTTTAGCATAAAACAAAAGAATCTGATATTGTGCTAAGTTAACTGGCTCCTTCAAAACCTTGCACACGTTTATTTTTCATAAGGGCTGCAGGGTATTTTCAAAATCAAATCAGACACCATTCCTGAGAGTCTGTTGCACTGGTGACAGTGTCTCCACGTTGTTCAAAACCTCATTCCACACAACCCTTCTGAAACTTTTCAATAGAAATGGATTCTTTTTGCTTTCTAATTTGGGGCTGCCCAAAAGATACATTTTTCTAAGTTTATAACTTTTTAGAAAGTGAGAAAAGTAGCTAATTTCTGAAAGTAAACACTGATCATAGAGCAGAACGGCTCTTTTAGATCTTCGACTATCTGTCTCCAGAGCTGGTACACAAAATCTCTTAATCTCTTCTGGTAGATATCTTATTCAGGTTTTATCTTATGAATGCACTTTCTCAGCCTGGATACCAAGTTCCAAGTCAATTCACTGTGAGCTCAGCTCCTAACACAGTCTGTCTCCTAAGGTTTCATTCTTTCAAGTGTTGCCAAACTCTGACCTGAATTCTCAATATTCTCATCTGGGAGGTGAGGGAGTTGTGAATTTCTCAAATCAGTCACAGATAGAGTGTCATAGACTCACTCTGCGTTTGTGATCTAAGCACTAGGAAGTCCCCCAAGTTTGACCTTGACTCTTGACTCATTTTTCAACAGCACACAGGGTTTTGTACCTTCAAAAACAAACAGAACTGTGTCAGCTTCACAGCATTTGCTGGCTCCAGATATCTCGGACTGTTTCTGCAGACAAGTTAGGCCCCTAGGCTCCTAAGAAACACATGTGACATGTCACTTCATGCCCAGCCTCTGTCCCTAGACTCACAAAGATGCTTTTTAGATTGACAATGATTTCCAAATATGCAACTCAATTTGAATAGATGTTTGCCCATTGCTAATTATAAATTGCCTAGTAATTTATTAAGCAACTATCCAAGTCTTATGTATCATTTATCATGTATGTATCATTTTATCACAAATTATCAACCTGAATATTCTTATAAAGATCTTAGGTAAGGCTCTATTTGAGAGTAATGTTTTGTCTAGAATATAAGGTAGGAAATTTTGGTCAGCCCCTCCCTATTTTACTTATTTTATTATTCCTTTCTAATAAAAATGAATATATAAAAATATAAATAGAAATGATTAAGAGCCACTCAGATAGGGGCTGGGATACAGCTCAGAGGTGCAGTGCCTGCCTGGCAAGCATAAGGTCCTGAGTTTGATTCCCAGTAACCACTGAAAAAAGAAAAAAGGAGCCAATCAGATGAGCCATTTGATTACCATCTCTGAAATAAATGTTTTATTTTTCAGTGAGAATCTATGATTCAAATTAAAAGTTTAACCTGCTCCATCAAAAAAAAAAAAAAAAAAGCCCTTCCCTTCTGATTTTGATTTTTTTAAACAATTCTGTGTGTATGGATGGCAAGGTATCACTCTGTTGAAATCTGTCTTTTACTATTTCAAAATAACTGTGTACTAAGCAAAAAAATAAGTAAATAAATCTAAGGAGCCATGAGTAAGATTATTGACTGAGTCACACCTCTGTGTGTGTGACAATGAACAACAGGTCATTAGGCTTCAAGTCTGTTTGGGAAGCGATCTCTAGACCAAGCACCACATATTATTTAAGGAGCGATGTAAGACAGGAGAACAGAGGCAGGGGCAGCTTATAGACAAGTGCTTTACAGTTTGCACATGTTTTTAAGACATATTTTCCTCCGAAAAAGCAGGAGCATGTTACCACTGTGCTGTTGCAAACTTTAGCCAGAAGAGAAAAGAGACTTCAACATGATTCTGTTCCAGTCAAGCTCATAGATTGGGAAAACAAGACTCTTTTTTAAAAGCATCCTGTATGCGTCTCATGACCAAAAATAGGATTTGCTAAGCACTGATCTACTTGCTAAATTATATACAAGAAGATTCAGGAACATAACTGTGCATCATTGGAAAGTGCAAATCATGGTTTCTCTTCTCCACCCTTCAAGAAAGTGGCTTATTTAGTTGCACACTACGGTGCCAAGCAAGGGGTTCCCACGTTCCGTGTAATTGAGCTATAAACCAGAGGATGCCCAAGCCTTGCTGCTGCCTGCCGAGTTGCATGTGGATGTGTGAACTCTCTCCACCATTCACCCTGCATCTTTCAGGATGCCCGCTGTGGTGAGGAATCATAAAGGTGTGTATTAGGCTGACAGTCCTGGAAAGTAGTAAGATGTAAAGCCAAGCCCAGGAAACCGTCTCGTGTCGTACCTCTAATTGATCCCAAACCTTTCATTACTGTCTAATGCGAGGAAGGCGTGTGGAGGCATTTAGCAAATGACTTTCCCGAAGTCAGAAAAATTCCAGGCCTTAGGAGCTGCAGGGCTCTGTTTTCTGTACTGCCACCCTGGTTCTAAGATTATTCCTCATTTCAGGTCACGTGGCAGCCCCCACTTGTGCGGAATGGTGACATCCTGAGCTATGAGATCCGCATGCCTGACCCATGCATCACAATCACCAATGTGTCCTCCTCGGAAGTGTCCAGTCACACCGTCACTCACCTGATTCCTTTCACCAATTATTCTGTCACCATCGTTGCCTGCTCAGGGGGTAACGGCTACCTAGGCGGATGCACAGAGAGTTTGCCTACGTTGGTGACCACGCACCCCACTGCACCCCAGGGTGCCAGTCCCTTGTCAGTGATTCCACTAAGTGAGTCCTATGTCGGAATTTCGTGGCAGCCACCGTCTAAGCCCAATGGACCTAATTTGAGGTAAGAAAAACACACTGTGCTTCTGAATTCTGCTATCCTGTCTTACAAAAAGATAGCAAGAAGGTGCTTACTGTCTCATTCGAACGCAGAATTCCAGTCATTTTGCATTCTGTTTATGCCAACTCACTTGGAACCCTAACTTCAACAAGGCAGAAATGGCATCATAATATTGAAAAGAACTAAAAACCTTCCAAGGGGTTCTCCTAAGTACTCATTTCATAATCCTCTTGATTTCTGAAGTCTATTTTTAGTCTGTTAGCAACCCTGATGCCTGTTCTGTGTGATACAGTTGTACAAACATGTCTCAGGATTCTAAAGCTAACACTGCAACGCTTTGACACATTGTTATTATCTGGAAACTTGCAAAGAATGTGGTCAATGATACAGATAAGATGAAAGAAAGGAGTTGGATTCTAAATGGCTTTGTAGGGACCAGCGCTTGGTACCCAGCCAAGAATGCAGAGTTGATAATTTTATCGTTTGTCGATGTCCGCTCCCGGCCGGCAGGAAGGACACACGACACAGTCTGGTAGTGGACAACCTTTTCTTTTTATTTTCCTTCTCCGTACAGCCTGCCCTGGGTTCTCCCAGCTGAAGCCTCCTTTGGTCCGCTCTCCGCGGCTCCTCTTGTGCTTCAGTCTGCCCCGAAGCCTCTATCGGTCCGCTCTCTGCGGCTCCTTCTGGGCTTCTACTTCCGGGCTTCTATCTGGCTTCTTCTTCCGCCCAGGGGTGGCACCGGTATATATACGGGTACAGTGTCCAATCATGTTAAAGTAAGCAAGGCAAGCTGATTGGCTAACATCATCAGTTGCCAGGCAGACTATATTGTTGAGCGGGTTGTTTACGCGGTAAGCAGGAAACTAACATATTCGATGGGAGGGGTAATCTACCTCAGGCCTCACTCTTTACTACAGGCCTCACGTCCGCCAAGTGAGGCGACCGGGCTCGGGGCTGCGGCTCCCAACATCTCCCCCTTTTTTATTTTTTATGAATGTGCGCATCGTAGCCCTTCCTGGACTGGGTGCAGAGGCTTATGCCCTATGCGTAGGCCCACCGTAGGTCCTTGGCTTAGACCCTGGTCGGCCGTCCCATGGTCTGCCAAGGCCCTGAGGCCCTCGTCCTTTTTCTAGGGCCAGGCACAAACTGGACGGAACCTGGATGCACACAAGCTTGCACTCATTTCCTCTCCGTAAAGAAATCCCCTCGGAGAGAAATTTAGACCTGGGCAGCATCTAACAGTCCAGCGGCTTACGTGCAGGATGGGGTAGGGCCTGGCTTAGGTCGAGTCATGCTGGGGAGGCACGCTCTTACCCGTCATTGACTCATCTACCCTGCTATATCATAATTTTTTAGAGGAGGAGTGTGGGAAGCTCACCGTCCCTAGACTCGGTCGTAGGCTAGGCGAGCGAGCCATGCATATGCCTGAGGATCTTCTTGTCCATTTCGGGCTACCGCTATTTCTATTCATCTTGTTGGTTGGTCTGTGATGGATCTCCAGTAGGGCAGGTCTGATCTTCAGTCGAGGGCTTTGTTGCCCGTGTCAGTCTCTCCGGTATCCACAGTGGTTCTCGTCCCGGTTCCTGTGGGAAAACACAAACCGCGCCTCGGTTCCAGCTGATTACCGGATCCGGGCCCATCCATTGTCCTGTCAGGACATCTTTCCACTTCACCCACCCTTTATGGTTGGGGGAAGGGTTGCAGTGCTCCACAGCTGGGGAGCGATTATCATTATTTAAATTTAAAAAATTGTGTGTGAATAGTGCCATGGATAATCGTGCCTTTGGGGCCAGGCCTTGGCCTACTCCCCCTTTTTGTTTTTGTAAAATTTCTTTGAGGCTTCTATGAGCCCTCTCAATGATTCCTTGACCTTGGGGATTGTATGGGATACCATGTTTTAATTGAACCTCCATCATTTTGCAGAACTCATTGAAGGCTTTGCCTATATAGGCTGGTCCATTATCAGTTTTTAATATTTTTGGTTTGCCCCATGCGGCCCAAGCTGCCAGGCAATGATTGATCACATTAGACACTTTTTCACCTGTTTCTGCTGTTGCAACTATGACGCGAGAACAGGTGTCTGTGGAAACATGAACATATTTAAGAGTCCCAAACTCCTGTATATGTGTGATGTCCATCTGCCAAACATCACCAGGGATCAAACCTCGAGGGTTTACTCCCATCGGTATGGCAGGTTTGTATGTGGCACAGGAGTCACATAGTCGCACGATATCTCGTGCATCTGCTCTAGAAACATGGAAATGGTTTGCTAGTGTCCTGGCATTAACATGAAATTTATCATGGAAGGCACGGGCTCGCTCGATTGGTGTTAGTAAGGTAAAAATCCATAACGGGCGAGTGGCAGTGTCAGCAGCCGCATTCCCCTGTGCCATAGGCCCTGGCAGGGATGTATGTGCTCTTATGTGGGTGGTGAAGACCTTATGGTGTCTGTTCTGAAGCAATGTCTGGATAGACAGGAACAGTCCAGCCACTGTGGAAGTGGATCTAATTAAACCGGCAGTCTCAAGCACTTGCATAGCATTGACCACATACCTAGAATCGGAGACAATGTTAATGGCCTCTGAGAACCGTTCAAGAATCATTTTAACGATCTGTAGTTCCACCACCTGAGGCTGATCTGGTTCAAATTGTATGGTAACCGGGGGCTTGCCTAGGATCACATAGGCGCCTATCCCCGTCTTGGAGCCATCTGTGTATATTGTAGTTGCTGGGACTAATGGCTCAGAGGCAGTAACCTTTGGAAAAATTATAGGGTGCTGAGTGACAAATGACAAGATGAACACCCATATAAGTCTGGAGGCGACACTGAGGTCCACACCTGCTGACCCAGGGGTGGCCCTTGTTGAAGGCTGCCACCCTGAGCTGTCCTGTCTCTGGGGCGGGGGCCCGTCTGTGAAGGGGGCCCCCTCTGGCCGTTTTTTGGCTCTCTAGCATCTTGTCCACAAATACGGTTGCCCTGAGCATCAAAGACCGACCTACACTCCTCAGCTTTGTGTGATCCCTTCTTGCATCGCCCACAAACATATGGTTCTTCATTCCTAGGGCGAGGCCTAGCATCTGCATTGTTTGGGCAGTGACGTTTAATGTGTCCTGGCTCCCCGCAGGCAAAACACCCTTTAGCCTTACATTCCCCTTCTAACCCGCGAGGTCCCCTCTGCTGTACAGCCGCGGCCAGGAGAGCAGCCACTCCCGAGTTGGAGAGCGGCCCCCCTATCTCTCTGCATATCCTAATCCAGGCATTGAGGTCCTTGTTCTTATGAGGAGCTATCGCTGCCTTGCACTCCTTTGTACATTGCTCAAAAATCAGCTGTCTTACCAGCGGTTGAGCCACTCCCGGATCAGAAAATATCTTATCGGCAGCATCTTGCATTCGGGCCACAAAGTCAACAAATGGCTCTGTGGTACCCTGAATTATTTTTGAAAGACACAAGGAGGCTGTTCCGGCACCACTTATCTGCTTCCAGGCGCGGAGTCCTATGGCATTGATTTGCTCATAGACAGCGCCGGGGAACTGGGTCTGGTCATCAGCGTGCCGACCTTCTCCCATAAGCATTTTCTTGTTCCACCCCCGGTTTCCTCGATTGGCGTTTTTCTCAGCCTGCTCGGCAGAGAACTCTGTATACCAGGCTCGCCAATCCAGGTAACTGCCCGAGGGCAGACAGGCCTTTGCCAGCTGAATCCAGTCCGCGGGGGTGAGGGGCCCAGAAGACAGATTCTCCAGCATGGCAATGGTGTAAGGCGCAGTCGGCCCAAAGGTTGTAACTGCATTTTTAAGTTCTCTAATCTGCTTTATCTCAAAAGGCTCCCATACATTGCGTCCCTGGCCCATAGCTACTTGTACAGGAAATATCTCGTAGGGGCCACTATCTATCCCAGGTGGATGTACCTCATGAGACAAGCGTCCCCCCTGCCAAAGCCGCCTGTAAAAATACCGACCTGCCGGCGGCGGAGCATAAGACAGCGGCCGTGATTGGGCGGAAAATGGGGGCCCGTGCATCACTTCCTGTTCTGGCGAAGAGGAAGGGAGCTCCCGGGCGGCCGCCCCGCGGCGAGGGATCGCCTCCGGAAACGGCCCCCAAGGTGGGGCGGAAGGCTTCGCCTCCCTCTCGCGCCGGGGAGCGCTCAGGAGCTCTCTACTCCTCCGCAGACCAGGTTGAGCAGAGCGCAATTCGCGGGGCAACGCTGGAAAAGAACCCTGCGACTCCTTATTGAGCGATTTAGGCTCCTGACAGCTGGTCTCTTTGGCCTCCTTGCCATTCAACTTTCCCTCGTCCTCGGAGTCAGACGACTCCGAGGCTAGAGCCCCGTCCTCCTCCTTAGCATCCTTGTTCCCCTTGACAGACCCCTCTCGGGAGCTCCCTGACTGGGCCTGCTCAGATACCCTGCATACTTTTGTAAGCTCTTGAGAGCTTTCTCCACAACCACCCTCGCTCTTAGTGCCGCTACCTAGCATGTTTCCCATTTTTTAATATGTTACTCACCGCGTGAGGCCCAAGGAATCCGCCACTTACGCGTGAGCCTGAGGGGAGTCTAAAAGCCCTGTAGGTGCGCGCCACCCAGAGCCCAGGCTTATCCCCAACTCACCTGTCTCGCAGCTCTGTACTGGAGCGTTGTCCACTTCCACGTCGCGGGGGTGATCAGTCCCCGGGCGGGCCTCCAAATGTCGATGTCCGCTCCCGGCCGGCAGGAAGGACACACGACACAGTCTGGTAGTGGACAACCTTTTCTTTTTATTTTCCTTCTCCGTACAGCCTGCCCTGGGTTCTCCCAGCTGAAGCCTCCTTTGGTCCGCTCTCCGCGGCTCCTCTTGTGCTTCAGTCTGCCCCGAAGCCTCTATCGGTCCGCTCTCTGCGGCTCCTTCTGGGCTTCTACTTCCGGGCTTCTATCTGGCTTCTTCTTCCGCCCAGGGGTGGCACCGGTATATATACGGGTACAGTGTCCAATCATGTTAAAGTAAGCAAGGCAAGCTGATTGGCTAACATCATCAGTTGCCAGGCAGACTATATTGTTGAGCGGGTTGTTTACGCGGTAAGCAGGAAACTAACATATTCGATGGGAGGGGTAATCTACCTCAGGCCTCACTCTTTACTACAGGCCTCACGTCCGCCAAGTGAGGCGACCGGGCTCGGGGCTGCGGCTCCCAACAATCGTTGTTTATAAACTATGGATGGTAGATGTCATTGGAAATCATTAACTCAGGAAGCTTTTTTATATTTCTTCTTTGTGTAAAATAGGTTTGGCAAATGGAATAGGAGAAATCTAAAATGTTAGCATTCTCACTGGTAATCAGAAAATGTGAAACTTGCTGATCCTTTGTAGTTAATTGAATATATGGCAGTTGAGATAGGAAAATAATTTTTTTTCTGGGAAAACTTCATTCCTGTAAAGTTAAGATGTTATTATTTACATTTGTGTATGTGACACACACACACACACACACACACACACACGCACACGCACACGCACACACACCATGCCACAAACAACCTGAATTTCGGTAATAACATTAGTCAAGATAATCCTGATGTTCCTGCTTGTCTTTTGCTTTAGATATGAGCTTGTGAGACGCAAAATCCAGCAACCACTTGCATCAAATCCCCCAGAAGATTTAAATCTGTGGCACAATATTTATTCAGGAACTCAGTGGTTTTATGAAGATAAGGGTCTTAGCAGGTGAGATTACAAAAACTATAAAAACAAATGCTGGCATTTAGTTTGGGGCATGTGGAATAGTTCAAAGCACCTGAGTGTCTTCATTGTGTGTGTTATCAGTTATGCCATGGAATAGGCTTGGCTATTATCTATGGCATTAATCATCGGGCTGCAAAGCTCAAGATGTTTAATGTTTGCCATCTTAACTGCACACTGAAAAGAACCCTTTGAAGTCACACGTGTAGGCATTTGAGCCTTCACCTCCTGCCTGAGTCACAGCTCTAGCTAGACCTGAAACTTAATAGAGGAATTTGGAAATGTTGAACATATACAAAACATTGAAATTACTGGGCACTTGTAAAATACTTGCTGTTTCTGGGAAGTAATAGGTATAAATCATTGATTCATTCCACACCAAAAGCAAAGCAAAACAAAAAAAAAAGTCATTTAGTTAACAGGATCGAGTCTTGAAAGAACTCTGTTTAGTGTTCAAAGAAGTCAAGAAATGGGCCGATGACCAGTGTTGAGAACTACCTGGGAGAGGTGGGTCTGGATCCCGTCGCATAGCGGGCTACCAACTAACTGCTTTTGTAACTGCAGGGAAGTCACTGCTCCGAGCTTCACTTTGGTATTTTTGTCCCTCGATTTTTATTTTTTTAGATAAAGCCTTGCTGTGTAATTGAGGCTAGCTTTGAACCTGCTATGTAGCCCAGGAACAAATCTAAGATTTAAGGAAAATAGTAAACAGTTCCACACAAATTAAAACTGAATCCAACATACCTAGGACAGCTGCTCCTGGAAGGGACGAATACCCTTCTAAGAATATGTTGTGAACAGGATATTTTAACTAGTCTTGCTGTGCTAATTGTCAAAGGATTTTTTTTTCTTGCTAAGGCTGGAAAAGATTTTTGGCTCTTATGCACATGATTGCTACATCCCTTATAAATCATTGTAAATTATAGTGCTATAAGTAAAAAAATATAAATATATGATATATGTGATATATATGTATATTTCTAATACATGTGTGTTTGTGTGTGTGTGTGTGTGTGTGTGTGTGTGTGTGTGTGTGTTTGGCATTCAGAATAAATGCTGGAGTCTTCATACTGGGAGAAGGATTGTTTAAGTCTTTTACCTTTCCTAGGTCCAAAAATGCTCGGGGTCCCTTTCACTCAAGCAAGGTGTCTCACAAACCAGGAGAAACTGGATGAGTCCACTGGGGACACTGTGGTTTTCTGTTTAAAAGAATCGATCTTGTTAGGCAAGATGCTTGCATGGCTCCGTGCTACAGCAGGGAGCTGTTGGGGTGCATCCTGGGGGCTAGGCCTCATCCCTTGGTGCAGCTCCTTTGTGGTCCCTCTCCCACCCCTTCCTGCCTGCAGGGGGCTTAGTCCCTGCCCCCCCCCCGCCCCATCTCTGGAAAATCAGAATCCAGGATTCTACAGTGTCGTGTTTGGAATTATGTAGTGTTTACTTGTAATCTTCCATGTCCTTGATACTCTGTATTCTGTACTGTAAATCATCTCTAGAGTATTATAGCACTGAATACCATGTAAATGCTGTGTAAATAGCAATTTGAAGATTTAGGGCTCAAGGATATGTAAGGGGACAGTATTTGTCATACTGACTTACCTGACTGACTGACTGACTGTACTTCACTTTTAATTCCAATACTTTTAGAAGGAATTTGTCATTTCCTGTTCTTTCCAGTTTCTAACATTCTCTATTTACTTGTTAACTTACACCTTTATAAATTAAGGTAGCATTGATGGATTTCTTGCTGTATTAGTTTTTTTTATCAGCATAGCTGTATTTAGAATCAGCTTTCAAATGACAGTTCTCTTGATAGAAAATGTAAGATTAACACAAGACTCACTGAGCATCCTTAATAAATATATTTGTGAGAGTTAAAAAAAAAACCAAAGCAAATTTCCTTATTTAACTGCTGTATTTTGGTCAGGTACATGTTTATAATATACAGAAAAACACCGATTTTATCCAAAATAGTGCTATGTCCCAGATTTCCGATCATTCTAGGACTATTTTTCTTTTTATGTCCACCTCTGGAGTACTGAGCCAATTATCCAGATAATTTAGTTCCTGCCTTTTACTCTCAGCTCGCCTTGCACGGGGTGGTTTTTGTCTGAACTGCACAGCTGGCGGCCTCCTTGTTGAATTCTGCTCTCTGCTTAGATGTGGACTCGGGGTAACTACGGGTTTATCCTACTTGTCAGCTTCTAACTTTTCTTCCTCCATAATTCTGTGCAAAGTGGCCAAGTTATGGTTGTTGAGGGAACCATAACTTTGGATGTGCTGACATTTTCATCACTTGGAAAATCTGGCAAACGTGCCGTTATCGTCTGAGGCTGTGGACGTGAGCTGGGCAGGTTTAACAGGAGGGCGGTGAACCCCTTCATGTCGAGAATCAATCTCCCCTTAGAATTTGCAGCGCCCAGCACTGCCCTGGCTCCTGATGAGCTGATAAAACTGCAGGAAGCTCGAAATAGTGCATCTGCTTCTCTTGCTCTGTCTTTAAAGAAGAGAAGATGATGTACGAGAAATGGTAGAAATTTTTTCGATTGCAGGGAATAAACTGGCTTGTACCTTATCATAACTTGGCCCGTCATTAGGTTTCTGTAGGGAGACATTGTATCCCTTCTTCTTTTCATTATTTACAGATTCCTGGGTGTATTTATTTTGCAATGACAGTTTGAATACAGACCTTCATGGGACTCCTCAGGAATCTTCTAATTTCACTGTCTGTTATAAATAAAATACAGGGTTAAGCAGTACCACAAAAATAAATGAAAACATTCACAATATATTTCATCTTATTTTCAAACAACAGTTAAACTTGTTTTTGAGATTGAAGCACTTAAATAGATGATAAACCTAAGTTCAAATCTTATTGGCATGAGTCCTGCTGTATTTTTTAAACACACCAGCATGGAATGCTTCAGAAGTTAAAAGACAGTGACGTTTCTACAGGAGGAGAGATTCAAGGGAATGTAGCTTTTATTCTGGTCCTTTGTAATGAGAGTAAATGTGCACAGGGGGCGGGCTCTGTTTTGTTAAAACAGAAAGATAGGCACAGTCCCATGGCAGCCTCTGTGCTCTGACAGCTCCAGCTGGAGCCATGACCAGTGGACAGCCAGCCTCCCTCAGGGCTTCTGAGAGGAGGCTCATCCAGATCGTTTTCTCCTTCATCTCAAACTGTGAAGAAAACTTGGGCCTGGTGATGGAAGCTGATGCCCTTCCCTCTCCCATGCTGTCTCATAGCAATGCACTCAACTGGAAATGAGCCAAAATGTGCCTATTTCACGTGCAAATTAAAGAGGCAGAGTTGCAACCTGTGCACCAGGATTCGCATCCAAGCTCTCAACTTTGTTCGTGCTGTCCTAAGCCCTGCCCAGCACATCTTACCTCTCAGACAGTGAGTCTGAGTCTAGAAGGCTGCACATTGTCACAGAAGATTTGTCCTCTTGGTTTTTTTCTTTCAAGCATATCTTCCTTTATGTTTCTTCATCGGATCGTTGGCTAGGTAAAGCCAAGACAGAAGTGGTCATAGAAGGATTTGAGGTGCAGTGTTCTGGTAGTGTGAGTGCGGAGAGCTCCAGAAACTCGCACCATCTGAAAAGTATCGTACTGTGAAATCCTCCCATGTGATCAACATTGCTGCTCAAGCCAGCATCTTTAGAATCAATAAGTGATTCAGTCACCGTGCACCTATCGTTAGAGACAGTTTTAATCACTGCAGAGGGTGGTGATGGATGCAGGACTGCATTTTACTGGTTTGCCTATTTCTGTGTCTACACAGTGATGCAAGAAGTGGGGAGCAGGTTTCCCAGGCCCTTGTTTATGTGACTGTCCTCAAAGTACTTTGGGTGGTGGCCAATGGGAGGAATAGTAAGTGGAAAGAAGCAGCAATGAACACACCTGGGTTTTCAGAAGCACAACTCGTATCTGTGACACTATTGACACATGAATTCCGTTAGGACACCAATAAAGTTGATACATTTTTAATTCTGATCAAAATAACATGAGGCATCCTGCAGTGGCTCTAGGGGATTTTCTTGGTCCCCCAAACACACCAGCAGCCCCTCTTGAGACCTGACCTTCACACATTTCAGCCTGGAATGACATCTTTCAGTGGACGAGTATCGTCACTGAACAAAATGCCACCCATCTCCTAACTCTGCCCCAATGTCACTTCCTGTATGAAGACTTCCCTGAACAGGAGAGATCACTCCAGGCTCTGTCTGAGGTGTGTTCAAAGGAAAAAGGAACAAATGAATAAAATTTTCGATCATCTTTTCTAACAACATATTTCTACAAATCTTGATACACTCTATGAGACACAAAGCTTTTTACATGAGAGATCCAGTTTGTTATGGTTGTTATTTGGCACATTGTTAATAGTCAGTAAATATCCTTTGAATGAACAAATGAATGAATGAAGTTGTATCATGCATGAAAGAACAGTACAATCTGTGTGCAGTACACTTTATTCAAAGAAGTATTTTGGTAAGTTTTGCCAGGAATCAGTTTTCTACCGAACAGATTTGTGCCTCACTAATTTTCTAAGTTATGTACGACTAGAAATTTTTGAGAATGACAGCATTAGGGACTATGAAACATATGTTCGCTGATTTATAAAATGGTGTGTTCTGTAAATAGATTAAAAACTGCATCATCCAGATGGAATTTAGTTTTCTAATTTGAATAATAGCAACTGAACCTGAAGTGAATATTCTCATGTAAGTACCATAGTTTTGTCCATAGCAGAAGTAAAGTTTACCTTTTGCTATGAGGAAGAAGGTTGGAAGCCTGTTCCAATTATAATAATGCAACACTCCTAAACAGGACTTCAGACAATTGATCAGATTGACAGCAATATACACTAATGTGATTATTTGTTTACACTGCAGATTTAAAAGCTGTTTCCTACAGGATTTGAAAGAGTGGATTCTTCAGTAGTTGAATACATGTCTAGAAAACATGATTAGCATTCAGGAAAAAGTTAATTTATAAAAAAAATCCTATTTCCAGATAAAATTGGGGCATGACAGCTTGAAAAGGCACCAGGTATCTTTCTAGCATTTCTGGGTACTGGGGCATGACAGTATGAAAAGGGAAAGAGAGAGAGAGAGAGAGAGACAGAGACAGAGACAGAGACAGAGACAGAGACAGAGAGACAGAGAGACAGAGAGACAGAGAGAGAGGAGGAGAAGGAGGAAAACACAGAAGAGAAGCAAGGAGTTGGAGAGAGAAGAGAGAAAGAGAAGAAGACAATGAACATCTGAGAGGAGACGGCCAAGGAGTTAAATAGAAGATGAAACCATAGCACTTATTTCAGGGAAATGAATGAACAGGACACCTCCAGCAGCCACTGAGACTTTGACCGATAGCTACAAGAGCAAAGCAGAAGCCTTAAATACAGCTGAACCAAGCCCTAAAAAGCTGTCTTGGCGCCGCGTGGGGAGCAGACTTCTACCTGGGTGACAGCAGGTGTGCCAAGAATCCTCCCTGTGCAGTTATTGCTTGCACCCCTGTAAACAGCACCACCCCTTTGCATCATCATGGTGCAGGTGGGGCCCATCGAGGCTCATACCCTGGTTTGCCTATTTGAGGCTCATACTGTGCCCAACCTTGGAGGCAAGGGAGGGCAAGGATCTGTGACCTCATGATGGGTCCATATTAGGAGCTGATGGTCTATAGCCAGTGTCCCCGCTCGGTGGCCACATGTTGCTCAGAGTGCTAAAGTGAGTGTCCCCATGTGAGTCTCTGTCTAACCATCACAGATTTGGTCTATAGAAAACACTTTCCTCCATAGGAAGCGTTAAGCTAAGCAAACGGAGCCTGCCTGGCTTTTGCCTGAGTTAAAAGGGTGTGAGGTAGGACTTGTACAGTCCCCCTTCTGTCATTCCTGACTCCTCAGTTCTACTTCTGCAGAGTCACCTCAGCGTCCCCTGCAGTGACTCCAGTGAACCCTGACCACCCACAGCTCACTAGGCGAAGCTCTCAGCAGGAGAATTCTGTACACATTGGTCACAGTTACGAGTTCGTTTGGGACTTTATCTGCCTGCCATTGAGGTTGTGGAGAAGAAGCTCAGGTGGAGGAAGAAAATGGCGGCAAAAGGTTCTGACTGAAAATAATGGATGCGTCTCCCAGAAGAAGCACACACGACCCTGCAGGTCCCACTCAGATAGAAAGGTGGCAGGTTGCCAGGTTCACGACGGAGCCTTGAACTGAGCCGTGATCCTCCCACTTCTGGAAACCAGAAGAGAGTGAAAACTGTGAACCGCATTTGTTTTATACATTTTATTTGCTTAGCATTCCTAACATAATATTTTTGCAACACTTTAATGGAGGCTGGAGATGTACAAAACTAATGACATGTTATGCATGAGGAGGAAAAAGAAAGTAATGTACTTTCTAGGAGGAAAAGGAAATTAAGCACTTTATGAAAGGGAAAAAGAAAACCCCATACTTTGTTGATATATATATATATATATATATATATAGTCACAGATATTTATTAGTGCACATTAATTTTACAAAACATTGGACATCTTTACACGTGCAGGTAAGACATTGATCCTATCCATTCCCTCAATTAGCTTTCTCTATTTTGTGAGGAAAAAGGAAATTGTGCATTTTGTTTTCAGTCAAACAAAAATTTATGTGCTTTTTTTCTTAAATGAAACCACCTTTAGGTTTACAACCTACGAGTATAAGCTCTTTGTGCACAACAGCGTGGGTTTCACTCCAAGCCAAGAAGCGAAGGTGACGACCTTGGCTGGTTTTCCCGAGAGGGCTGCCAACCTCACTGTGACCGTCCTCAACCACACGGCCATCGACGTGAGATGGGCTAAGCCAAGTAAGAAAGCTTCTCTTATGTTGTGGTTTAGATGGAGAATGTCCTCCCCCAGGCTGCATATACCCCGAGGAGGGGCTTGCTGAGAACGAACGGATCCTAGGTGCGGAGCTGAATGAGCCGTTAGGAGGTGGGGCTGGCAGGATGACCTGGAAGGGTGTACAGCCTCTCCTTCCCTAGCTCCTTCCTCCGCTCTCCACTTCCTGGCCACCATGACGTGAGCTGCTATCCTCTGCCAGGCCCTTCTACTGTGTCCTTTCTGCCTTGGAGCTGGCCAACCATGGGCTGAACCATGAGCCTAAAAAAACCTCTCCTCATTTAACTCATGAGCATCAGGTGTTATGTCCTAGTGATGGAAAAGCACTAAAAATTCAGACGTCTAGTTTGCCTTCCTGTGTTAAACCCAAAGGAATTAAAAACTAAAAGCCAAGTTATGCCAGTCTTTTGAAAAGCAAAGTCTTTCCTTCACACTTGATCAGCTCACCCTTTTCATATTCCCTTTAGAATGTAGAATGTGGTTTGTGTCGCTGCATAGACAATGGTGGGGAATGATCATGCGATAATTTGATCCTAGGCAGTGTTATATACCTTTGTGCATGAAGCTGAACTCACACAGCTTGTAACTCATCGTGCACTGGCCACAGCCCCTACTAGGATTGTGGTAGAGAAACCTACCTAAGGATTGTGGTACCATCCTTAGTGCTGGTTGTAGACACAATTCTAGCCAATATAGAAGAAAATCCAAACAGCCTCCCTGGGCTTCTGCAGTAAGGCTGGGTCCAATCTTGGTTTTGACTAAAGCACTTTACAGTTGTCTGGAGTGCTCACAGGGAGACCTAAGCTGTGCTCACAACCTGGAACAGCCACAATGACTGAAATTTCAGAGCTTGTACACCAATTGGTTAGCACTTAGCATCCAATCTGTTACTGCTTTCCTGGTAAATCTTTGTGACAATCAGAAAAATATAAATAACATAAACCCTGAATCTACCCCGGAACCATGATTGCACTGGTTCCTGTAATTTGAGATCTGGAAGTAGTTGAATCACAGTTTCTTAGTAAATTACCAAATGCTGAGAACTATCTGACTTGTGAGGGCTTAGTTAAAATATTTCAGGTTATGAGAGAAAAGTCAGCAATCCGAGAAATTATCTGTTCTTATATAAAAATTGGTGGAATGACCACTGATTGGGCAGTAACAGCTGTGTCATTTTGAGGCAGCTTTGAGTTGTGTTATAGCAGAAGAAGACAAATGCTTCTTTTAGGATACCAAGTAATCTGTATGATGTTAATTATGACTTTACTTGGTATCATTAATTATAAGTTTAAATTAGTAGGTGTGTTCATCAGATTTCTGTCATTATGACAACATACTTGAGACACATCAACTTTCAAGGAGGGAAGGTTCATTTCCCTCAAGCTTCAGTCCATGATCACTTGGTTCTATTGCTTTGGGGGTATAGTGAAGCAGAAATGCCAAAATGAGAAGCTATGCTGGTCAGAAGGCAAAGAGAAAGACAGGAAAGGGCCAGGTTCCCCACATCTCCTTCATGGCAAGAATCAGGGGTCTAATGTCAGCCCTTGAGGCCCAGCTTCCTGAAGGATGCATGACCACTCAACGGCACTATGATCCAAGGATGAAGCCTTTAGTATACACACCTTGGGAGGATGCTACCACACTTCTGCTTACACAGACCCTGCTGCCACCAGAGAATATGTTTTCGCAAAAAACTAAGTCTAGGGTTCTCATACAGCTGGTTTTTCTCATAATCTGTGGCATCTGTATGGGAATCCCTTAAGCTACTTGATTGGAAGAAGATAAATCAATGGATTGTATGATGTGCCCTCGGAAACACCCCTAGGAAAATTTAAGTCTTTGCGTGGGGGTGTGTTGTAGGTCCCTCTGATGGATTTTTCACCCTCTCCCTCTTTCTCTCTGACCCGACTCACCAAAAGACACGTTTTAAAGCCTGGTCACATAGGTAGGCTCAGCTCCTCATCTGACATTTGAATTTTGCTGTGGAGACTGGGCTGCTGAATTTCCACCAATATAGGTCCTTTACGTTCTAATTGCATGCCTGAAATAAGCATGCTTATAAAAACTGACAAAGCTAATGGATCTGAAGCAGCTCGCTGAAGTTCCATTACCTTAGTAATCCGAACCTCTGACCTTCCGGATGTAGGTAATGCAATCTGCTGTTATTTCCATTCTTACCTTAGAAATTTTTCAGATAACTATTTGTGAGCACAAAGGTTAACTCTCCAAAGAGGGTCAGCGCTGAAAAAGCTGTTGTATTATCTACCCTTTCCTTTGTGCAAGCCGCTGTCTTAAGTAAATTAACCAGCCAGTCTTCAACAGAAAGGCCTCCCGGTTTCTTCAACTTCAATTTTAAACTGTTTTCTTGATTGGTACAAAAAATGTCACAGAGCCTGCTATACTGCACAGCACAAAGCAGTAGACTGAATGTAACTGTAGTTGAAGATTGCATGAATAAATTGAGAAATGTTGGCTTATAATTACCTTTCAAAAAACCATGAGATACATGTTTAAAACCATATTCTCTCTTCACTGCAAACTTCTACAGTATATGGAATGATCAAAAAGTACAGTGGATATGGAAACAACTTTTGTAACTTGTTTCAGTAAAAGCCACACAGGTAACAACAATGGGATAAGAGTCTTTGAAGTGGGAAGGCATATTAAAGGGGATTAATGGGAATGTGCCATTTCCTGCACTAAAATTTTAATTTCAGCATTCACCACATTGATTGATCACCTGTCATTTTGATTGCAAAAGATTTCTGGTGAATTTTTACCAATCACAGATTGACAGGTATAAATTATTAAAATTTTAGAAAGATTTCTTTTAAATATCAGCACCAAACAGGATATTACATAAAATAAAGCACCTCCACATTTCTTCAAAAAGTATTGCAACCAGGAAACACACAGACGAGGTTTCCTTCTTTCATTCTCTAAGTGAGTTTTGCCTGAAACGTTTGAGAAAAGAGCATTTTCCCACCACTTCAAGAGCAGAAGAGTCACATAAATTTGGATACTTACCTGGTGAATGGAAAATGCTACCTGGCAGGGAGCAGCATCTGCCCCTCGGCAGGCTGTGTTCTCACCCCTTCCCCACACCTATATCTCTGGTCCCGATGAAGATATTATTTTCTCTTCCTGCTTTAAATAACAGAATTTTTTCCTAAAGTATGCTTTGGATTGTTATTAAAAATCACAGTATTTTAGGAAGAGACACAAAACACCTTCCCTTTGATTGTTTATTCAATCTTAAGGCTCAGGCATCAAATCTTCCAGGATTTTTTGTGCATCTAGCCACAATATGATTAGAATTTTTATCAAGCATGATGTATAAAGATCATTCCCACTCTGACTGCTCACTTTTTTAAAAGGCCAGGAGGAAAAGGCCTCTGGAAGGGAGCGTGAGTTTATAGCTCGGTATGCTGAGGGAGATGCAGCCTGGTCTGAGGACGTCACGGGGGTGTGGCCTGGAAGGATCTACCTCCCTTCTCCTCCCTTGATCCCTCTGCTTCTCACCACCATGCCATGGACTGTTTCTCCTCGCTGTGGAGCCAGCCAACTGTGGACTGAAACCTCTACTGTGATCTGAAATAAGCCTTTCCACCTTAGAGTTGTAAGTGTCTGGTATTGTGTCTCAGGGACGAGAAACTAAGACATTTCCTACTCACACACCTCCTTAGTTTTGGCGATAATAACTAAGACACCACCAGATTTTATAATGGGGAAAATTTCTGGCTTTGTCTCAGTGTCTCTTGTGCCTGCAGCAAGACATCCAAATTCAAAATCCTGCCTCTTCTGGGATGCACTCATCTCATGGGCTTATCTTATTTCTCTGCTTCTTTGCATCACTGTGGTTATCTGGTCACATAGACTGCATTTCCCTTCCAGTGAGCACCTACCATAACTTGTCCTTCTGTCTGTGTCCCCCACTGCTGTGGCCTCTAAGGTTTATCAGTTATCATCTAATGACCCAACCAAGCCTCTTTTCTCTATCCCATGCTGAGAGAGAGACAGACAGACAGAGAGAGACAGAGAGAGATAGAGAGACAGAGAGAGACACAGAGGGAGTGAACCAGCATGATGAGTGATCCCTGAAGTGCTTCCCCCCAAGGGCCATAACCTTCCTTTCTCACCAACTACACTTTCCCTCATCCCCTAAGTGAACATTTTTCTCAGTGTTTTTTCTGTACCTTCTTGTCACACTCCAATTCACCTCCTGTGGATGCCACCTATTCTCAAAGTTTCAAATTTTCCTAACTAAATACTGACCAAAAGGTCATATAAAGGAAGGATTTGAAAAACAGATTTTAGATCAGGAAGACTGAGACTGAGATCCTGGACCCAATCTTTTCTAGCACTGTAGCCTAAACAAGTCCCTTCAACTCACTGTTAGCTTCTTGATCTGAAATACGAGACTAATCATTATTGCCCTAAAATGTTGTCGTCAGGATGGAGTGAAGTCATACGTGCTTAGAGCTTGATCACCATTCAGTAATGGTACAAATCATGTGGCTGATTGTGAGATGTAGAGACTGAATTCCTTCTTATTTTGCAAAAGATAAAAACATGCAGGCCTAATGAAATTTTCAGACATAATTCTTCCAGGCATTCAGATAACAGCATTTCTATAGTGGATATACATGTTTAACTTTGTAATTTCTTGACTAAGCAGTGTGACTGAGCAAATCTAGTTACCATGTTGGAAAGTATCAGATGCAGTGTGATATCCCTCCTTCCCCTTCCTTTCAGTGGGGTTTTTGTCCCCTAACCCAGCTACGGAATTTGACAGCCTCCCTGTGACCTTGTGAACTGTCAACAGCATGTATTTGCATCCAAGGGATGTGAAAAAAAGTGCGCACCTTTCCAAGTCATGGTGTAAAACACTGAGTGTGTTCCTTTCTTTTTCCTCTTCTCCCCTTTTCTTGACAGCAGGGTGGACATGGGCATGTTCCTAGCTTCT